GTCTTTGTCCACCCAGACATGCACAGTGGACAGAAGGAAATGTCTTTGCTTTGTTTGCTGAGAGAAGTTTTGCGGTTTTTCAGTTTTCTCCAAGAATTATAAAGATGCATTTATTTTCTATAAAGAATAATTATTAGTTAATTGCATTTCTGCTGTATCTAAACTTACTGGGCTAACATCTTGTTTTGCTACCTAAAGCAAAATATTTCAGCTTTTCAGAGAAAGAATTGTATGTATTAGTCTGGCAGAAAAAAATAGCAACTTTTGGAAGGCGTTTCTGAGAAACAAGGCAGTTATGTAAACCAAGGAAAGAGAAACACGACACTGGGGGAAGTTTTGTTGCCATTATTATTATTTATTATAGTAACTATTTCTACAGCACTGTAATTTTGTGTGACATTCTTCAAAGAGTGAAAAGGCAAGCAGTGAGACCCAGAGTGCACTCTGGTGCACGTACCTGTAGCCAGACCCTGCTACATGTAGTATCTGGCTGAGTAAGAGCTGGGAAAACGAAACTAAGCTACTTTTCTCCCCATTCTGGGGCTGGCAATCCAGGTTTGTGAAGCTGTGTCTTGTCCTGTCCTTACTAGGTTCCCTTTGCAGGGCAAGAGATTTTTGAGCAAGGCCTCACAATACAAGGAGTTCTCAGGGAAACAGATCTGGTTTTCCTTCTGCTCTCTTGAGCAGTGCAAGGCTGCGAGAGAGAGGGCTGGAAATCAGGCCTCATGGTAGCTGTCACAGGGAGCTTGCAGTGTGCAGCAGATGGATATAGAAAAGGACAAAATGGAGCAAAAGCAGAAGCAGGCAAAAGAGGTTAAGCTCTAAAATAACTTAAGATAATTTTATTCATTACACCTTCAGATGGAACACTACCATCCATATGTGATGAAAAGGGTCTTGATGGTATTTTGAGGACAAGATTATTTTATTTCTGTTCATTAAATAATTGACATTTGCAGAATTTTACCCTCCATGTAATATTTGTCCAGAACAGGTATAGGTTTCCTAAGATTTTCTTCTCTCTGTTATTTTACAGCTTCTGTGTAGCAATTGTTTGGTCATTAAGAACAAATAGTTCACCTTTACATAGTTCACCTTTTGTCTATGAGTGAAATTCACTTCATTTTGAAATAGGTTTCATTTGTCAAGAGATAGGGGTGGATGCTCTGCTTTCCCTACATCCACAGTTCCCATGTAGGACCTTTGGGTAGCAATCCCAGACTTTTTCCTCCCCAAGTTGCTGTCAAAGAATATGCAAAATCACTAGGGTAGCTAGCATGCCAAAAGCAGAAAGCAAGGTAAAATGGCCTATCAGAGGGAACCTGAGGTGGGGAGGCAAGGCAGGGAATATATTTGAAGCAGAGAAAAGTCTCCATTGATGCAGATTCAAGTTTGAAAATCTCTAAGATGAGAGTCAGGGGAAAAAAATCAAGCCACAAAATCTGGGGTTTTTTCAGTAGTTTTAGTCCATACAAAACAGCAATGCTTAAGGAGAGAACTGAAGACCAGAGGAGAGAGGGGGACCTGGAGAACGATATGGGCCAGGTCAGTGCTACATGGAACCAGGGCACAGAGCCTGCAGGAGGAGGGAGCTGGCCTAACTGCCAAGTGGGCATGGCAGAGTGCAGGAGAAGGAAAACTTGCCCTCCAAACTCTTCCCAGTCATATTGGTTCTCCTGCTCTCATCTGTAACACCTGGAAAAATAAGCATTATAGCTCCTGTTCTGTCCTGCCTGTATGCCCTCAGGGATTTCGAACCACAAGGAATCCACATGTTGTTTGGAGTCACTGAACTGTGCAGGGTAGGCTGCCACCAGGAGCTCCTTGGGCCCTTCCTGACGTTCCTACTGTGCCTCCTGCTCCTCCCAGGCACAGTGAACTGAGATGAAGAGCCTGAATGCTGAATATGTTTGTTCTTGACAATTTAAATTAGATCCTTATATTTAAGGCATATTTTTCTATTTTATCTACTGCCTGAATCTCAGATGCTGAAATATTCACAAAGCTCTTCATTCTTTGGGGAGCAGGAGATGGGTTTTCCCCAGTGGCACAGTGATAGCTTCTGATCCGCCAGCCTCCCGCTGTCCACTGTCATTGCAGCTCACAGTCAGTGAGTGGCCCGAGGAGTAGCTGGCACTCAAGGACCCCCCTCCAGTGCCCATAACTCTGAAACTACATGACATCTTAACCTTTATGAAATTTCTTCAAGACAGCATTTTAAAACACCCAAATCTTTCCTGACCTTTACATTTTAGTAGAGGGGGTTTGTTTTGTTATTTTTTTTTTAAATTGATGTTCCTATATTTTTTTTTCTGTAGCTGTGGCATTTTTAAGCTGGTTTAAGAGGAACTTTGCCTTCCCTTTCCTTTCCTTGTTGAGCTCAGTCATTAAGGGAAAGCACTCCAGACTCCAGCTTAACTTTATAATGTTTTTGTTTTTGTGATTGTGACATTTTATTTCTCTCAGCCAGTGGGAAGATCTTATCCTTTTAATCTGTAAACTGTTAGGTTTCAGTTTGACTCTAAATGCTGACTTCCTTTGTGGCATCTCATCCTCATTCTCACCTGTTTCACCAGGCTGTGCCTTGGTGATTGTGTATCAGATGTACAGATGATTCAGGGGACTCTCCTAAGGGGATCAGTGATTTGTGCCCTGGATCATCAGGAAGCTGACCCCTTTTCATATGTGGTGAATCAAGATATCTTCAAGAGAAAGCTAATGGTTCAACTTGACAGTAATACCCTGGCTAAATCTAGAATAAATCTGTTGAGTACTTCAGCAAAGCTGATAGTGCAAAGCTGACACAAGCGAGGAATCATTCCTGGCATTTTTACACAAAACTGCAAATATTTGTAAAGGAAAACTGGAAACTCAAAAGCATTACAGTTTTTCTATGGCACTTGCTCCTGTTACTGTAAGTAGAAGCTCTGTATCCTGCAGCACTCTCTTATCAGACCTCTTTTTTTAGATAGGGAAAACTCTCCACATTTGTATCTAGTCATTACCTAATACAATCTCATCAAATCTTTCATGATATCAGGCAATTACAACACTCAAGGCTCAGAGTCTAAATACTCTCTAGTGGTCCTTTTGGATTTGTTTGTATAGTATAGTTCTGTTGCAACTGAGAACACAGACACAGCTTTGTAGGCACAAAGATGAGTTCTGCTAAGCCTGTGTAAGTCCCTGCTCTTTAGCCCAAAAAAAACTGAAGGTCAGTTCAAAGCTGCTTGTTGAGGGAAACTAATCCTGCAAACAGTACATTCACTAGCCATTATTTCCAAATTCAAACTATCTTATAGTCATGAAATGGAAAGTTTATGGGGAAAACAAATGCTGCATTTATTACTGTGATGCAACATTCATAAAATATATTTCATTGGGGGGGAGTTTACACAGGGGGTAATGAGATTTTTCCTTTATACATTATTTACAACTGCTTAATCCAGGTGCTGTAGGTTATTTTTTTATCCCTCGGTTTCACAGCTAGAAAACACTTCAGTATTTCTAATTTATTTCTGCTTACAATACAGATGTTCTCAATTGTGTCTCTAACTACATTTCAACTGTTATGATCACTTTTATTTGTTTGTGTCACTGTACACTTAGAGGTTGAATGTGCTCTACACAATAGTCAGGTTCCAAGAAGGCTGTAAAAAGCCTCTGGTGATTTAATTACCAACAAATTAAACTATGCCTAACAGTAATATCTTTATCGTTAGTGGGTTTAATCTTCAGATTATTTTCTTGCTGTTTATATTGCTCTGTGCATGGGCTCTTATATCTTCACATAAAGGTTTCATCCTTTTAAACAACATTTTTCTAGATGACCAGTTGGAAACAACATTTGGAGGAACATTTGGATTGCATCCTCTAACTAAATTTCCAAGCTGTTGGTAACGGACTAAAGAAAATGTGGTCTGCACTGAATACTAAAGAGCTGGAAATGTAAGAGCCTTGAAGGTTACGTGTAAATATTGACTTTTTTATTTTATTTAGCATACAAAAATGAACTTGCAATGTTGCTTATCTGATCATACAGCAGTGACTGCATCTGCATCATCTGAGATATACTCCTCACACTTCTGACTTTCATAGGTGTTCCAGAGTTTTCCCTCTGAGAATGTTATTTGATGTCCCTCATTAGGGAACAGATATCTGGGGACTGTGGGTCTATATAGGAACATGTCAACCAACAGTCAACAAATGGAAGCAGAAAAAAAAAATCCTTTCATCTTCCAAGGCCATGTTCTATGTGCAGATATGGGTCCCAATAAAACTATTAAGCTTCTTTCCTGAGATGTGTAATGGGACTTTAGGCTCTCAGCATCCAGCAAAACAAGGTCTTTGGTTCATCCTAGAGGAAGCACAGAAAAATAACTGTAACATTACATATACCTCAGCTGTTCTTTACACTTACCCATACTGTCCTTTCCCCTTGAATGCAAGTCTGTTGTCATTTCTTTTTAACCAAATGTTTCTGTGGAAATCTCAGGGTCTTTGTGTTTACATGCTTTTTTCCTTAAAACACTGAAAAAGACACTGATGTGCAGCTAACAAAGCTTGCAGTTCTTTAGAGCTGTTTTTTATACTAAATTAATTTATATGTTAAATACTATGATGGTCACCACACAGTTTGTAATTTCAGGGCATGAAACATGAGGGCACCACAATATTCTCCTTAAAATCTAGTCAGAAAGACATGAAATGTTGGGTGTTCACATGACAGATCAGGGTAGCTGTTTCATGAATGGTACTACAGTCGCCAAAAATCCACAGTAATGATTTGAGAACACATTAGTTCTCTCCCTGGACAGCCTAACCTGAACACCAACACTATCAAGAATTTTTCTAAAGTATGTGGTTCTCCTTTTTAGTACTCTTAGTTCCTGCATAAAACGCTGACATGCTGTTTACATCAGCTGGCTGCCTCTTGTGCTCCTCTGGGGGTGTATTGAAGATTTTTTTTTTTTTTTTTTTTTTTTTTTTGTATTTCCACATGTGAGAGAAGGATTTAATAAATTGCAGAATCATAAATTTCATTAAGGGAGTGGGAGGAAGAACAGTAACTTCTTTGTGCTACATGGAGTCTATGTAATTTATCTAAATGTTACCTATTTCTTTAGCAGATAGAGTAATTAAGAAATTACCAGCATGGCTCTTGTTTGGTCATCCTCCTTGTTCTTCTATAAACTTAATTTAATATATTCTTCCTTTTATATATCTGCTAAAAATTTCAGACTCTTCTGGTCACCTGTTTTTATTGGACATAGTGGTAAGCCTTACCAAGAGGTGCAGTACTCGGCCTACAGAGCTACTTTGCCAAACCAGAGAGTTTGTCCCTAATCCAGTTGTCTTGAAGAAAGCCAGGCATCAAGGTAATCAGGCCAGCATGCATTTGTCAGGTCATTTACAGTATGGAGAACACATGTTATTTGTCCTTTTTAATTCATTTTTCTCTGCCTTGCAATGGAGTGAGTAGCCTCATTCTATAGTTGTCAAAGCTTCTGAGAAGACTCCTTCTGTGCTTCCAGAGTAGTCCCATAGTGGCAGTGGAGCACTGTGGAAATAAAAGACGAGATATGCCAAGGATGAAGCATGTTCTGCAAGGGATGAACCCATGCCCCTCACCCCCAAATATGACCAAGGTTGATCCTGTGGTGGCTGGTAGGTACATGTGTCTGTCTATCCAGTTTGTGGCTTCTAGCTGGGCTCATGGAAAGGCTGTATTGCAGAACTGACACGGAAATGTCCCGTGCCAGCCAGATGAGTGACAGTGCTAGAGTATTATTGAATGATCTGGGATTGTCTAACCTAAGCAAGGGTCTTAAAAAAGATAATGTAGCTTTTCAACTATATGAAAAACACTGCTCCAAAGAAAAAGATATCAAGGAAATCCTTTCATATATTCCTGAGGAAAGTAAGTACCAACAGGCTTCAGTTATGGTAAAAAAAATGTCAGTTAATCATTAGTAAATACTTGGTATTCCAGCATGGCTTACAGCAGTAGATCAGGAAGCCACAGGGTCTTTGTCACTGGACATCTTTATGAATAGGCTAGACAGTATCTGAAAGTAATGACAAAGGTGTAACAGAGCCTTTACTGACATTGTGTGCCTGGTCAACACTGAGTGATCAACTGAAAGCCAGTGAGCACCTAGTGAGTAAAATCTAGCAAGAAATATATAGATTCAGGTCACTTTTGCCACTGGGACTTCAGGATGAGGTAGGAAGCAGTGAATCCCTTGTGCATTTTGACAATGGGAATCTCCCTCAACTTTGGAAGCAGATTTTTTGTCAACACAAAACACTTTTCCCTTGCCAAATCCATATACTACCTTCATCTTATCTAGAGAAAGCTTCAGCCAACTGGCTTTCATCCTTGTCTTATCTCTGCCAGACACAAGGAAGCTGTAACATATGGCTTCAATGAAAAGGAGACGTAGAGCTTGGTGTCATCAGGATATTGATGACATTGTAGCCTATGCCATTTCACAATATCCTCAAGTGGTTTCATATGGGTTTTGAATAAGAAAAGTAACAGCAGTGAACCCTCTGGTACTTTAATCTGTGAGTTCTGGGAGAGAAAAAAACATTTATCCATGCTTTTGGGATCTTCTTGACAGAAACTGTCAGAACACTTCAAAGACTTTCTTCTCTCCTGTCAACCATTTTGCCACAAAAGCAATGTGAAACAGCAACAGGAAGCAGACATAATGTCTGGACTTTGGTCTGACTCAGATGCAGTGGCAAAGCACAGGAAGAATTAGCAATATTAAGTTAAAATAATTTATTACAGTATGTGTGTATATGCATGTGGGTCTCATGAAGTAATAGAACCATACCATGACAGAAACTTCCTACCTTTGCTGTAAAATTGCTAATGTCACCAATCTGAACCTACAGTCTGACTATTAAGTGGGAGAATAAACTTTTTTGTAGTTTAGGAATTTGAGTCTCAAGAGCTATAAAATTAGAATATTCAGCACAGCTGATTGTCTACAGAGGTCTCTCAATGAGACCTGCCTTAATAGATCATAAGATGAACAGGTAATTTCTTAGCTGGTTTAATCAACCAGTAAAAGTAACAGGTGAAGTGATGCGACCCTTGTGTGAAAATGGGAAGTTAGATCCTAGTGATAAAATGGGAGAAGAAGATATAAAATCTCACATCAGTATTAGCAGTTACTGTAGGCAGATGTGTCTTTCCCCCCGGGCTTACATCCATCTGGAGTTCCAACCTGCACTGTGCCAAACAAGATTAACATAAATGCCCAGCCATTTTGTTTGGAGTGTATCATTGGTATCCATCTTTGGTTGGTATACAGATTTGCTAATAGCAATGGTATTCAGTCTTGAAAGATCTTTGCTTCTTATTTAAAAAACATACCTGTGTATTATTCATGTGTCACATTCTCTGTCATCAGTGATGACAAAACTACACTGAAATGACTATATATATATATATGCCTGTCACATGCCTCAGCTATCCAAAATCTAGTTATCTCAGCTTCCTCAACCATTTCAACATAACCACAGGAAGGGTGTCCTAGAGGCCCCAGATGCTCCACTGGAAGACTTTTCAAAATAAAGCCTTATTAGTAAGGCCATCTGACTTTTCTCCCTCCTCTGCTGTGATATTTGGTGAATAAGACATAAACCATTCCAGTGAAATGTTCAGGCCTGAAAAATGGTGCATTTTGCACCAAAACCGTGGAGGCTAACAGGTGCCTGAGCAGAGAAGGAGATAGATGAGTGAGGTGTTGAAGCTGGCCCACCACCATCCCACAGTTACAGAGAGAAAGGGAGTTCTACATACAGGAATTGATTTAGGGTAGATGTGAAGCAAAGGAGTGAAATCCATCTTGTTTTCTTCTAAGAGATGCCAGCTGAGCTGGAGTGATGCTGTGCAGTAGATTGCAATGAAAACATGCAGCTTGTGATAAGCTGACAGGAGCTGGACTGAGCATAAATAGCTTAGAAACATCAGCGGGTAAAGGCAAAGCTTTTGCTTTTGCATTTTGAAAGGACATATTTGCTATGCTTTGCTTTTTAGAGTATAACACATTGTGTTAATACCAGCAACTGTATTTAGAAAACCTTACACTTCCCATGTGTCAAATTTTTGTCCTTATATATACATGTTCTCATTTTTTGAGCTATGGAACCGTTGTAATTATTGTTAGAACTTTGTGACCGAGGATATGAGACTTTCTCAGCATGAGTGACTGTTTTCTCAAGACATCCTGGCTGCAGTGGTGTAACTGTGCTGACATTTGCACAGACAGGCAGATGGTACTTGGGACATGTCTGATTGCAGTGCAGACCTGAAGATGCTAGATGAAGAAACTGAGCTGTGTTTTGGCCTGATTTATAAGAAAACTGCTTCTCAGCAAATGTAGCCTGTGCAATCCTTTCTGCTAATGGAAAAAATGGTGAGCCACAGCAAAACAGACCCACAGCTAAAACATGTTTTGGGCAAGGGTCATAACAATTTGTATCAGATATGTGTTTGTTCCATATCAACTAAAATATTTAATGTCCTTGCATAATACAGAACAGGGCAAACATCCACAAGTCTGATTGACTATGGGAGGTTATAAGATATATCACAATTGGTAAATTGTGCTTGAAAGCCATGCAGGATCAGAACAAAATGGTGTAACTGGGAAATGCTCTTCTAGAGGTGGAATATGAATTTTGATTTATTATTATGTGGAATAGTGTCCTCACTCTCAAGAGAGAGATTTTGCATCAAAGAAGCCACCAGATGTTGTCAGGTTCACTGAGAAACACAATCCTTCAGACAGGAGAGGGAGAGTAGGCATGGCATGCTTTGGCATACATGGGACAACAAAGAGATTCAGTGAAATTTAGTTGTTTCCTAATTTCAGTTCTGAGAATGAATCACATAATTTGCTACAGATAACTGGCTAATGTTAATGATTGACAACTAAGTAATTTGGATGAATTTGAGCTGAGGGAGTTGTGGTATGGCCTGCTGCATCTTGGTGCCAGATATCTTGCCATACTCTTTGCAGCTTTGCTACCAACTTCCTGCTATGGACTTTTGTGTTCAAATTCCATTATTTCACTTGAACCTGTTTGGGAAAAACTCATCATTGTAACACCATTTTAGAAGTGGCTGTTCATGGATACAGCTAATGGAATTTATGGAGTAAAATGCTGCTACTGAAGTCCTCTGATAAACCACATAGACTAGAAAATTGCTGATTTAGTGTATAAGTGGAGAGGATGGCAAATGTTATCATGCATTTGAAACTGGTTTATGCATATACCACTCTATTTTTTTTTTAACAGTCCAGAGAATTACAGAAGTCTTCCACAAATACAGCTCTCTGTTTTAAGCACCAACATCATAATGGGTTCTTATATTCTTGTTCTGCTCTGCACTCATGTAGTCCTGGAAGAGCCCCGTAGACTTTGAGAGTCAAGGCAATACTGCAATTATATAGAATTAGAATGCCTTTTCTTTAGTAAAGAGATTAGGTAATGTAACAAAACCAATGAACCAAGGCCAGCTGTGGTGTAAACAATGATTTTACTCCTCGAGCCAAATTCTTAAATGGTGGAAATGAACCTGCTGTGTTCCAACAAACCCTTTTTTTATCTCCTTTGTGTCAGTAGCATAGACAAAAGGGTTGGAGTGGCAGCAAAAAAACCCTATTTAATATTGTATATGCAACAAAATTCTTCTACTGCATCTTCTTTTTGTTGCTTCTTTTCATGCTCCATACCCATTTCTGCACCTAGCAGTGTGGGAGCTCAGCACGACCAACGATTGACTATACTTACAACAAGATCCATATATAAAACGGCATTTGAATTAGTCATCACTTTGCCTATAGATTTCAGAAGTTTAGATCTCCAGCTAGGGCAGGTGTAAACTTCTTCGAAGTATAAAGGCAGGTGGGTTCACAAGTTTCATATAACAGCTGGGAGCAAAGCACTGAGATAATCAGGTATGTGCTGATTCTTCTGATTAGGCCAGAAAAGCCCTCTCAGTGTTGTCCTGTGCTGCAGAGATATATCCTGTAATCAAGGACTGAATGTTTAAGGCTTTGAATACCCACTGTATTGGGTAATACAAATGAAACATCTAACAGGTGGGATTGCTGGGCCTGTAACCAGTCTTTCTTGTTCTGTGGCTTTCTGGGATCGGCAAATATCTGTATGATGCCTGGGGAGAAAATCCTCAGCTGCTGAAGCTCCACCATTGCAGGTTGGTGTTGTTCAGGACAGTGGAGGAATCCTGGCTCATTCCCATTCTGGAAGCAATGACTAGGAACTGCCCTAAGCCTCATGTTGTCACATGTCACTGCACTGGTGTGTGCCAAGAGGTGAAGTAAGCAACACAGAGGGCATCTGGAAAGAGAGAAGACAGGAAAAACTCAGTTTGGCAGATGCTGGATCACAGCAGGCTTCCAGCATTTTATTTTGAATGTGTTTGTTTGCTAAATAACCATGCATTACTACAGTGGAGTATCTTCAGCTTCAGTAATACTTTACTGTTATTATTAAAGACCAAAGTGGACAGCAGTTAAAGGAACGTGGTAGTGCTCCTGACTAGGATTCAGTGTTCATTAACCTTTCAGACACTGTGTGATTTTAGAAGGGCTGTTTTTTCCTAATTTTTTCAAATTCTTGTAGTTCTCAAACATGGCTGTTTTAATAGCAAGAAGTTAAACGGCAGAAAGGTCATGTTATCTGGTTTGTGCATAGGCTGCCTCCATCACACTTGTGTGTAATCAAAGAAAATATAATTACAGCTCTGCAAATTTGAGGCCAAATCTCTGCTCACATAAATGGGTGAGTCCTTGGGTTTTGCTTGGCTAACAAGTACCATTCTGTATTAACAGAGAGGAAATCTTTTCTAGGATTTAGAGCAGCTGGCATATTAAATCCAGTAGACCAACTGAAACCTTGGTATCAAGCAGCAATGATTCTTCAGAAATGACTGGAGCTGTACCAGTCTTACGTTTCAGGACTGAGATCAGAACCAGACTCAGTTTGCTGAAAAATAAAGCAGTTCTGTCATTTGCTAGTAATGAGGAATCACTTAGCCAAATCATAAATCTATGTCCAGGCTGAAGTTGTACACTATAAATATGTTACATGGTCTCCATGGGGTGCTCTTCTAAATAAGCTCCATAGTGTTTACTAATAAGTCTCTTTTTTCTTCTTCATGCAGCTTGTCCTCTACGGGTGATAGATGTTTCTGCAGTAGCATTTTGATCCAATCCTATTAAAACCATTTTTAGTTCCAGGAAGACTTTTGATATTTTTTGTCTTCCAAAGCTATTACAAATATTCACAAATTCAGGGTCATGCTGTATGTAACCACGTACCTTTAAATCCAAATATTTGAGGTGGGATTTATGGGAGGGAGTGGCTTGCAGCAGGGTTTCCCAAAACAGGGCATGAAGTGCTGGGAGGGAGAGGTAAAAAAGCCAATTATTAATTCTGCTTCTAACATCAGTACTATTTTGCATGTGATAAGGGAGGGGATGGATAGAATTGTTCACCAGGGAGAGAGGTACAGGGAAGAGGCATTTACAAAGTTCTGGTTTATAGAATTTTAAAAAGTAAATGCTCTTATTCCTAGGCTGTAGATTAAGGTGCATTGTTCAGCAACAGCTGGCTCCTAGTTATCCCTGACTTTACAATGTTTACAGCATTCTCCACTCTGGTAATTCTGCTTCAGAAACTCCTCTGCCCTATGTGAAAGTGCTGTGCACTTCTTGCTTACCAAGGGACTTAATATAAGAGCACTCAATGTTGTAATGTTAAATGCCAAAGGACCAATACCTGAAAGGTCTAAGACTAAAAGCATCAGACTACACAATTTCCTATTTACTATAGATGGTATATTTAGTAACTAATCATCCAACCTAATAATATAAAATAGTATTTGACAAAAAGGTCAAGTGTTTAATATTAGGGCTAGGAGAGTCATAAAAATCTATGAAGGGAATGCTCCATGGAACAGCCAGCCAGCTGCAGCTCCCAGCTCTGTCACTGTATCTCTCAGTTACTCCTTTCATTCTATAAAAATGTCACAGTCTCTTAAGCTCAAATGATTCCATACGTTTCCTGCTTCTGGAGGATGTAACTCTACAGTAGGCTCAGTCCCTGGATGCCAGGCCAGACAGCTCTGTCTCTGGAAGTTTCCTCTCTGTAAATCTTCCAGATCTCTTCAAAAAGTGTCATAGTTTATGGTGTAAACAAAAGTTCCCTGGATATTGTGGAGAACTCTGTATTTTATGGAAATCCTATTAGGATGCAATGAAAAAGACTTTTAAAATTAAATAATTGTTTTATAATACCTAGCAGACTTTATGTTCCAGGTTCATCAGCCAAATGGACCTCAGCCAGAGGTGTGAGAGGGAATGAACCAAACTGAGAGCCAGTGTAAATGGGCTCAACTTTCACATTCTTTTTGAACTTGACAACTACATGCAGTGATGAGAAGTAGCCATTGTTGCTGCTGATCTGTAGAGCAACCTGGGCATCAGCAATGTTTTAGAACCTCATTGTCGCTGTAAAACATGAAAACAAAACACAGAAACAGCAACTGAGACTAAATGCTGTACTCAGATCCAGACTGGAGGACGCATGTATAAGATTTTATTGTTAATACTGTCCTTCCTCAGCTCCCATTTCTCTGATCCTTTTCCCACACTGTTATTCATTACTCCCTTCATGACTGTTGGAAATTTGGATTTTTTAATCATCTTCTATTTGCCTGCAGGGACCTCAGTTATTTTGCTTCTGCCCATGGGATCCCGCTTCAATTGCAGCTGTTTGAATTAACATGTTTCCTTGCTGCATCTCCTGGCTGAGGGAAGTGCAAGTGCTGTCATGGCCAGCAGAACAGGCAGGTGACTCAGTTCCATCCTGTAACTCATTTTTGTGGCATTTTTTGTAAACTCGTGTGGTTTAATAGCAAGTGGAGGGTTTGGGGTTTTGTTTGGTTTTTTTTCCGATCAGCAACTATATACTATGGGGTGGGGGGTGGTATTTGGAAAAAAAATGGGACACACCTTTTAATTCTCATGAAAGCATTTTCATGTGAAGCCTTCTTACAACAACAGAGTGAGAACAAGTTAAATATTTTGTTTCAAAGGGATTATCCCTACCCAGCAGGGAACAGCTGGCATAAAATGTTGATCCACCTCCCATTGCAAACAAGAGCCAAACTCCTGTTAATTTCATTGGTACAGAATCAAGCTCTTATTAAGTCCATGTCCAGCTTTGCACAACTTCTGTCTCTGTCTGCTTCTCTTATATATAGGCCTGACCCTCTCTGGTTGTGGAGAATCCAAGATGAGTTGTGGCTGTAGAGAAACTGAAAGCATTTTAAGATATAAATGAGTAAATTAGTTTAATAGCTTTTCCCAAATATGTTCAGTTGTGAAGTACATCACAAGCAGCCCCACTTTCTTCAGTCTAGTCTATCTGTCTAGATAGCCAAATGACAAGCAGCAAGTTGTATCCAGGATCTTGACTCACTAAAATGAGCCAGTTCCTTCTTTTTTTTTTTTTTCTTTTTTTTCTTTTCTTTTTTTTTTTTTTGAGTTAACATGGCTCCTCTCTAGGTTGTGTTTCATTTCTGTGTTCAGCCACTTGAAAAGGAGAATTTCAATTTTTGTGTACAGTTATATTGCAGTATATTTAATAAAAGAGCACCAGTTACTGAAATGTTTTGAAAGACATCACTCCCAGATCTAAGAGCAGCCACAAAACTTATTTCCTCTCCAGAGCATTCACATTAAGGCATAGATGTATGTAGAACTGTTAGGAGAACATACATTAATTACAAAAATAACTAGACAATTTTTATGATCCTAATCTCTGATATTGATAGGCTTCCTGTTACCCACATCCAGTCCTTTCATGGTTATATTGTTTGAATGTGTTTCTGCTAAGTGGCAGAGCAGGCTGAAACTGTTAGTGCCTAGGAATTGGGAAAAAGAGTGATAACTAGTGATTGGGTTGTTAAGAGCCTCATTGTATGTGACCGTGAAAAAATTGGGCCTGTACTGTCATATGTCATCTAAAAGTTAGCACTATGAACAAGATGTTTTCATATCCTTTCTAATACTTTGAGATAGACCAAAATTTATCATAGCTACCTTCATTTTACTCAGTTAATAATGAATGATCAGTGAAACATTTTGGAATAAGAAAGCTAGATGATTCATGTAACCTCTGCTGTGAAAGGTTTTCAAAGTTTAAAACATAAAAAGAGAAAGTAAAGGTAGCTGTATCTTTCAAAAGACAAAAAAATATGTAGGAGAGATGAGAAGTTTTAATTGAATAACATAGCTTGTGAGATCATCATACAGGTTCAATTTTTTGATAATTGAATTGAGTTTCACTCATGTTTAACATTTGCATGAGTTCTCAAACAATGAAACTGTCTTTGTGGGCCTTTCTTTGACTTCATGACCATCATGATTTTCAGGGATGAAAGTCATGCTTTTTTGATAATGGTGTGATTGTATGGGTGCTGTATAAACTGCATTTTTTAACTGCTGGGGAAGGTGCTGTGTAAAAAGCTGTGCTTCTTCTTCTTCTTTATTAGAACTGATCCAAGATATAAAGAGTCCAAAGTCTTGCTCAACTGTTCATGGATAACAAGGTATCCAAAAATTTTGCCACAGTAAAATTACATAGCTTTACTGTTATGCACACACCTCTGATAAGTCTACACTAAGATTAAAGGGCCAAATTCTTTTCTGGAATAAAAATCACTTTTTTTTTTTTGGTGTCTCTTGAGCTTCCATACTTTTTCCAGCAGAGACCTTGGTTACTAGTACAGAGTTCATGTAAAGAGACAGGTTTTTCCCTCTTCAAATGCAACCATCAATGTTTGGAGACTTTTATCTTTGTGCCAGGGCACAGAAAGAATGCACGTCATGCATGCATGACTTCATCATAAAACTTTGTCATAAAACTTCAACTTTTGGAGCCTGTGGATGGGGAATTAAGTGTCCCATTTAGGTAGTCTGTAATAATTGTCATTCCTGTTTCTGAAAGTCTGAACATGCTGAACTGTTGTTCTGCAATAGTATCTTAGTCCCTGTGCTTTTGTATTGTTAGAGCTACTTCTTTTGAAATTCATGGCTGGCTAAAAATTTGAGGTATTCTAGGTTGCACTAATTATGAGGAGCAAGTGTAACTATATATCTACAAAAAAGGACAAAGATCTGTTTTTCTGATCACTGGACAAGTCAAACAGCTATAAAAATAAGTTCATCCAGTTGCCCATGAGACCTCTTTCAGCCAGAGCCCATTCCTTATGCTCACCCTTGGCCGCTTGTAGGGATGCCATGGCTGCATGTCCTGCCACCTCTCTTCATTTCTGCAGTGACTCTGTGGCTTTTCTTCCCACCCAGTCTGGTAGTCTCTCAGTAATGTTCAGGAACTGTGCTTCTCTCATAGTCCATGTCTCTGATCAGACTGGCCTTGTCTTTGCTGTGTGCAGTGACACGTGCCTGCACTTTGCTTGAGGACTGAGTATCTTCACCGAGGAGTTGAGTTGGTCCTTCCCAGTTAATTCAACGGAAGGGCAATGATTACAACCAGCTCTGACTACGTTTGATTCATACACTTCTACATCTGGTTTATATCAAAATTATTCCCATAATTTCTCCCTTCATAAAAAAGCCAGCCTGAAAAGAAGAGAAATAAACATAGAATGGTTTAAAATTGTATACTAGGAATAATTAAATTCTTAGTAAGAGACTTCTGTCATTTCTCGATTTTCACTCACCATGAGGAGGACAGCATGTTCTCATCTCTGTAGAGTTGCATAAATTACTTGATTAAAGTGCATGTTGCAGAACTTAATCTGGACATTTGGAACCTCCTTGCTGATTTCTCATGGTATTTGTTAGATGAGGGAAAAAAAAAAAGTCCTGTGCTTAGTTCATCTTATATTGTAGATATATTTTCCAGACATTTGCAAATAGAGTAAAGAACAAGAGATCTTCAGCTATTTAAAGTCTTTGAAAGAAGAAAGCAGTTTAGATTACCAGCAGCCTACAATGTGCATGGCACAAAAATGTCAGTTTTAATGGCAAAGTTCAGGATAAAACTGTGTCAGCTAATTTAATCATTTACCATGAAATACCAGTTATCTTAATCTTACATGCAGTCCTTAAGTCTGCTGCATATTTTTGTGTAATTGAATCCTGTCCCTAAAAGGGACAAAGCAGGGAATTTGCTCTTTAGTGAAAAGTTAGGCTCTAAATGTTCCTGTTTATAAATTGTACTTGTGGCATTGTCAGATATTTTGATAGTGAGCAGCTAATATTTCTGATGAGTTTATTTTTTCTCTGTTTCCTATTTGTCTTCCATGCTACAGAAATCATATTAGTATTCAGTTTCTATGGAACTTAACTGAATTCTCTGGAAAAAAACCTGCAGATATTGTTCCCAGAACTTAAGGCAAATAAATTAGTATCTAACCCAGATGACACATTTTATTCATGTGGTTTGCTTTCTGTCTAGATACCTGATGTATTACTTCATCAGCAAATTCAACAAGGCCAAGATGTCTTTATTTTCCTTCAGAGCAAGAGCTGTAAGAGCAGTGTGGTGGAAGTATTGGTCTTCTGTGGCCAGCCGGTGAGAACCCATCAACAGCTGTGATGAGCAGAGCAGACACGGGAGACAGGAGGCAGCTGAAGCCAAAGAGGACCCACGCCTGGAGCTGTGTCTGTGTGATTGGAGCAGAGAGAGGCCAGGACCCAAGGAAATCCCAGCAGCAAGGGAAAAAAACAGATTGACTCTCAGTGACTCATTTAGCTCCTGGATTGGACAGATCTCTCCCCTGCTGGCAATTTGGCTGAGCATCAATGGACAGATACCAGGATGAATAGCTTAAAATAATTAGGGGTTGGGAATTTGCAAAACTGCTAGCCATCCAATTCTTTACTGTGCAATGCGAGGCAGAAAAAAGAAATTACATTTAGGTTATTAAATATTAAGTCAGTGGATTTACTCCCATTTGGTGCAGAACAGGAAACTGGCTAAAATTCAACATTTATATCATTGTGTTGATGGTCTGTTTATCACTGAGCAAGTAAGTGCCTTTTGGCAGGTCAAGCTCTTTGACACATGGGGCAAATGTGTGCTTAATTTCTCCCAAACAGAAGTATTAATATAATAATAATAATTAACACAAATGAGAACAGAATTAAAATCAAGTACAGTCAGGAGTTCAGTTTAATGCCAGGTGTCTCGCATTCTAGATGTTCTGTGACCAGATTTTTCCTGTTGAAGGTAGCAAGGGTGTTGCCTTTGGCACTTATGGGATCTGAAGTAGGCCTTGGATGTAAAGAGACTGTACTTTCTATTCAGTGCACAAAACCAGAAGCAACAGGCTCATTTAGTATCAGTAAAGGTCAGTTAAAATTATAGAGACATCCTTTGGAGCAAATCCTCTGCCTTGTATTTGCATATTTATGAATTAGAGATTACGACAGGCTATTTCATTTATTAGAGCAGCACTGCTATAGTTAATAGTCTGTCAGTACTTCCATTATAAACCCTGGTTTTCAGTGTTTAATATCTCAGCCATTTAAAATCACATCAGGAAGCAAGTTGGTCTTATGTTGCTGGCCAGGTGCAATTTTTTGTTATGGACTATTTTCAATAATGAAATACTGCTCATGATATATGCAGAGGAGCCATTGAATTTCTGTTGGAGGGACACAGCAAGGTGTGTAGATTCATTGTGGCTTTGTTTTTCTTTAGGAAAGAAGGGAAAAGAGGGATTTGACCAATCATGTAAACTGTGGCCTTATGTTTGAAGAACAGCTTTTCAAGCAACTGCTCTCAGAGGAAACACTGGTTCTCAGTGGGAAATCAGGTTGCTGTTTGCTTGCCAGTGGTGACCAAGGTAAACAGGTGAGGATGGTTACCCTGTCCCTCTGATATTTCTTGTCTACCAATCATGGATGAAGCACCTTAGGCAAGAAAGCAGTGAACATAAAAGAAGAGCCTTCAGAAATAACAGGAGTCCCAATTACAAATTCAGAAATCTGGCCTCTTTTTAAGTGTCTGCCAGCAGCAAAGTGCAGTAGTGTCCTGACTTTATTGCTGAGATTTGGGGTAGAGGGTTGCTAAGACTTAAGGGGCAGTTGTGAAGCACTTTGCATGTGTCCTAAACTGAACAGTGTCATTTATTTCAGGAGTCTCACATCACTCTCCTTCCAAACAGCCCCACTTGGCTTTCATAGAAGTGTTACTTCACTGAAAAGTAACTGCCTGGCAAGGGCAAATGTTCAGACTAAAATACCAATTTTTAACTTGCTAGGGCAGCAAAATTTACTCTTCAGAGTAGCTGAAAGAAGCTGCTCTTACACTATAACCTTTTGCCCTGTGAAAAGAGAAACAGTCCAAACATAAGCTCCTAGGGAGTGGTTTGTTTTCAAGGTCTTGAAAATCATTTGCTGCCTCTAGAACTGACAAGTTAGAAATCAAATTCATGAAGAGAAAAAAATAATGAAGCTATGTGCAAAATATCTTTAGCTCTTTTGCCTCACAAACATAGTTGGAGGTGGGAACATAGTCCATATTTTCCATCTTTCTCGCCATAAAGGTCTAAGTGCACAACTGAGGGTTCCAGGGAATCTAGCAATGGCAGGCCAGAAGCACTCTGAAACATAATCAATCCACTTGGTGCATTGCAGCTGATCAAACTATGCCCTAAGCAAGGCCCAGGGCTTGGCCTCTGTGTCACCTTCTGTACATTTTGACTGAATTAAGATTAACAACAAGTTTAGAAGTTACATTACACAAACATTTTTTAAGCACATGTAAGACAAGGTTGCAACAAAAGGTCTCTGATCTTAAATCCCCTAAATCCAAATGGTGAGCCATACTTTTCATCCAGTCTCTCATCAGCATCATGAGAACCAAGAGACCAGATCAAGACACTCCACTCAGGCTTATGGAAAATCTGTTCCAGATCCAAGTGGCAAGGGCTAATCAGTAGTGCTTTCTTAAAACAACAGTATTTGGGTTTTTTCGTAACTAATTGCTAACTAAAAGTGCATTTTCCAGACTCCTTCCAGAGTTGCCATTGTAAAGAACAATCTTCTTTCCCTAGGCACATCACAGTGCCTTTTCAGCCAAAAATTATCTTTGGTCATGATAAGTGATAATAACTCAGAAGGAGGCAGACTACAGAAATTCTAATTATTTTGAATACAAAATTACTTCAACAGTTTTTTAAAAAAGGTATAACCCAAAGTAAGGAGGGAGGGGGTTTTTGCCAAACATGTAGACAATGTCATACATTTTAAAATAAAGTACTACATGCTCTTTGCTGGAAACTCTGTCCAGGCTCAGTAAGTTATCTGAACAGCATTGTTTACTAGATATATTTATTATTCTTTGTCTTAATTTGCAGTGACATAAAATCTTGCACAACTGACTTGAGTACATCTTTGAATGCTAAAAATACTAATCATTATGTAATTAGTCAACAGGATGTGTGTAATTGTGTAATACCAGCATTCCTGGGTGTGGTTAAGTACATAGGTAGAATGCCAACAGTCATCTAGATGTAGTAGTATAAAATTACACAAAACATACACCCTGGGTGGATACTCTAATTATATTTTACATTTATACAATAGCTACATTAGCAAAATGGAACTTATTATTTTTAAAAATAATATCTTCCCACAGGCATGGATCATAGTAGGTGATGGTAATAATATTGCCCAAATAGAGTATCTTCTATCTCCCAAGGGACTCAGTCGTCTTCATAAACATACAAATAGGAGACAGAAACCAGGCATAAAGAGCCCTTCATTCACTCATGGCGTAAAACCACCCCAAAACACATGACAATTGCTGAGTCATGCACTGGAATAATTGAAGGCAGAGAACCAACAGGAAGGAATTTCTATCTCATGAGAATCACATGAGATTAACCAGAAATGTGACTAGAACTGTTATATTTTTATGACTTACCAGACATCAGGACAATCCTTAAACCATGGTGAAAACAGATCCACACAGTGAGTCAGATTCTTCTTTGAATTTAGCCAGGAAGATCTATGCCATCAAATGTCTTGAGCATTTGAGTTAATTCTGATCTCTGCTAAGATTTACTGTGAATGTGGTGTGAAAATCTGCTGCCCTCCCAGCCAAAACCTCCCTGCTTGGTCATCCCTCGTTCTTCCTGGGGTACAGCGGCAGTGACTGACAGGTATGCATGTCACTGGGGCCAGCACTACAGATGGTAACTTATGCAGTATAAACAGAAAACATGGCACACCAGTATTTACTCTCTTTTGATATGGTTTCAAAATAGAGAAATCCAGAAGAATGGAAAGGTGAAAATTCCAACACAAAAAAAAAAACCAAAAAAACCCCAAAAAAAAACCCCAAAGAACCCTGTGCTGTGACTCATCATTAAGGTAAAATGTCAGAGCCTAAAGCTCTGCGTTTTTCATGTGCCTGGGTGCAGAAGGGTGAGGTGCCCTCTGAGGATGATTTTATCTTTTGCTTTTGAGTCTGAAGATCTTGGATGTGGTTTGGCAAGTTCATAAAAATACTGTGATGAAGTTGAGTTGCCATCTGGAAATGATACATACAGAGATGTAAGAAAGCTTGAGGAGAAAACTGCAGATGCTGGAAGAAGAATCAGTGGTGCACATGAATGAGGTTAAAAATTGCAGACAATTAGCTACAAGATGACTCCTACTAAATAAATCATCAAAGACTTGACTACTGCTTCCAGGTTTCTACTGCAATATTAGCTCATTGGAACAGTCAAAAAGATGTTAATTTGGCCAAAGTTTTAGAAATGTGCTATTCTTGTTTGAATTAACAAATCAACAAACAAGGCCAATCTCTACTGTCTTGCCAAGGCTATAAAGCTTCTAGGGAAACTATTGTATTTAATGCTCAGGATCAAGGGCCCCATGATATGCAAAATAAGCCTCTTTGTGTTAAATGAAAGCTGCACAGGAAAGAAAACCTGAGCTTGTCATGGAATTTCACATCTCGTTTCAGCATTCAATAAAGTGCTTTGGATGTCCAATTTAATAGAGAAGCGCAATTTTTTTCTGTATGCCTCCACAGGCCAGGCCTTGCTGTGTTCTCATTTGGTTTAATCCAAGACTCAAAGTAAAAAGAAAATATTCCAATTGCTTCCAATAGGCATCCCGTCAATCTTGTGCTGTGGTTTTATGTAAATGTAAATTCGGTGCTAAGTTGCTCCCAAGAAAGAGAGAGGTAAGTGATAGGAGTCTGCACACTTAACTTTCCACCCTCCTGTTATTTGCTGCTGATAGAATCTATCCTTTGGCTTGGCAAAAACTTCTTAATTTGTCTGGTCTATCTGCAGGGTTGACTGGTGTAAAAAAACATGCTCACCTCGACCTTCTTTATTGCTACATCAAGGCAGCTCACTACAGTTGTACTCTTTGCTACTGCTTGAGATTTAACTTGTGTCCCCGGTGTGTTGTGATAAGCCTCTGAATGGCACTGCTGTGAAGGTTTTGTTCTTCCCAAAGACTCTCCTGAGGTTCAGTGAAGGCAAGTAGAGTTTGCTTGAGTTTAAAGGTAAATTGTGTATGTCACTATAATAAAGGGAAATATGCAAAGTGTTGGTTGAATTTAATTGGAATTTGGAATGTTTGACTTGTCACAAGGCCAGTTGGTATTATGTGGACTTCTGACATTGTTCATAGCAGGAGGACCTCACCCCATGGTGAGTGCCGGGACAAGACCTTGTTATCGCATACATGCAATTTAAACCATCTATAGAATTTAGTCTTAAGTCTTACTATCACTTAGTAGTATAAAATAAGAAACATGATCTGAAAAACATTAGAGAGAAATACTGAAGTTTTGCACATCAAAAAGGCTAATTAGAAACTCTTTTATAATAAATAAGCCAAGCATATTGACATTAATTATAGGAAATACTCAAGGTTTGAAATAATCTATTGTAGAGCACAGATGTATACCAAATCCTATGTAAATGAGTGTGTGCAACTGTTCTTCAAGTAACACATTTAATTATAAATATAAGCTGTGTGTTCAGGTTTCTTTTTAAGGAGTAGAACATCATAAATTAGGTTTCTCTCTCTTCCTTGCTCTTACTCAACACAGTGAGATAGTTATTTCTGTAGTTATATCTATTAATCACAGCCTAACATGCATTCCAGAGGCTTGGAGCAGATTCTTCCTGTACCTGAAGTAGTAGTAGTTCTGTTTGCTTTAGTACTAGTAATTCTGTAGTTGTTCTGTCAGCTTTACTGGAATTGGATTGCTGTAACTAGCAGCAGTATTTGTTTTCTGGTGTTAAAATTCCTTTGGTTTCAAGAAAGCTAATGGAATTCATAACTGCTTTTGTATTTTTCAATCTGTATCCCAGAGCTGACTAGTGGCATTGGTTTCTTAAAAAAATACTAAGGCTACAATTTGCTACATTAGTTTTGCCAGTAGAGACTCTTAACAACCTTGAGAAGAAAATTTCACATATCCCTTCTTTTACCCTGTCCAGCTGCAAAGAAATCCTCTTAACTTTTGATAGCTTTACTTTATGAAGGAAAAGTTCTTCCCTGTCAGAGCCATGACGGGTGGGCTCAGCAGGCTGAATCACTCCACCCCAAATGCTCCTTCCATCTTACTTGCTGCCTCTATACAGATGAAAGATGCTGTGCCTCCTGATCAAATTTCATTAATGAATCTCCCAAATACTTGTCTAAGTGTACTCCAGCTGGGACTGGTAAGCTTCCTGAAGCCTGCTCCACAATCTTCACACCATCCTGCAAATGCCAGGGCTTAGCACTTTTGCTCTTAGAAACACCCATCTGCAAGGGCATACGTTGGTAGTGAATTGGTTGCTCTCTCCCATCACTAGTAGAGAATATTGATGTTGCCATTGCTGGTTCAATTTCTTTAATTCTCCCAATTTTCCTAACAATTGTCTTAACATTTCACAGGTGTGTCCAGAGCTACTGTGTCAGCAAAAGTTCTAAAAAGCTCATGGTAAAGTGTCTGCTTTCACCTTTCAGATTCAAGTTGATTAAAGGGTTTGAGGAAAAGTGCTGTGGGCAATGAAGAACAATGAAGATCATTTAGATGAGCTGCAGGTAGGAAAAAAATAATGGTACTCTAAAACAGTAATCTCTATATAGCCTCAAGAATTGTCAACAACTGGCCTCCAGTCTAGCTTGCAGATTTTGGTAATCTCACCACGTGCTGCCCAAACCTGAACAAGATTGCCTAGGCCACAGGTATATAACACTGGCCAGACTTTAGTATCTGGCCTATTCTTACACTTCTGCTTCTGAACATCCATTACTGGTAATTATCAGACATAAAATATTGGAATAGTTGGATTTTTTTCAGCCTTGTGTTCTTGATCTTAGTGAGTCTGAAAAGGAGATAACTTCTGTCCTAATTGCAGTGTGATAAGGAAAACCAGCAATTTTTACTGACCCTGGACACCCAAGGGCATCCTTTTACAAAGAGACACCTCTGACACGTGGATCCATGTTGACTGACATGATAGATGCGGCACTTGTAAAAGAAACCAGCTTAGAATTGCATATCTTTTAATGGCAACTAAATGCAGAATAGAGTTACAAGAGTGGGAGCAACAGGAGATTGTCAGTTGGTTGTGAAGTCAGAGTGAAAGTTTTATATATAATTTCATCTATTTGAGAGGCAGATGGTTCTGTTAGTAACTATTCCTTACATATAGATCAGACTTCTAAAGACATTTCTACGTCTGCTTTGGATAAAAATATATAAAAAACCTGAACCCATGAGCTTTCGCCTTCAGTGTGCAGTCAGTAAATTAGAAGAAAAAGGGGCTGTTACACCTGTGAAATTAAATTTGACTCAAAGATAGTTTAGGCTGATAATGAAGGTGAAAGTTCAAAATATAGTGTGATATCTGTACAAAGCATATTGACCTGCTATCTAACTTTTTGTTCTTGCTTGAAATCTAAAATTTGGTTTCAAATAAAAATCACCAGTTCATATAATACAAGTATGTTATTGAATTCTGACTGAGGCAGTGCTGCTCAGAGATGGGGGGCCTTGTGGCATGGGGTCAGGAGCATTTTGCAGGATGTGACAGTTTCCAGACCACAGGCAAGTCTGACTTTAGCGAAATGTGAAGGAGGTGGACACTTACCCTAGAGAGAGTTTACAGACAGCAAAAAAGCCAGGTTACAAATGAAAACTTCCTATTCCTTTCTAGCACTACTGATTTTCTGATAAAATTTTCAAAATTTGAGATGAGTGGCAAATTTTTCAGCAAATCCAAGGGAACAAGAATAGGGATGGTCAGCTTAATAAGAGAAACCAAGGCACCAGGTGAGATGACTGCCTTGTGGGAGAAGAGGTGGAGGGGTGAGGGGAGGGAAGAAGGCAGGCTGGCTCATGGAGCTGATCTGACTGGCAGCAGGGCATGCAGGGGAGGGAGAGACTGCTGCCTGTCAGGATATATCCAGAAGCCATAAAACTGGTGCTGAGGGTGAGCTGCTGGAATTGTCTGTCTGAAAAGAGAAGGGCAGAGAACGAGAGCAGTATAACTTTGGGTTTGGCATTGTGGGTGGCAGAGAGAAGAACAGGGCTCCTTCTGCATTCTGCACCCACCCTGCTTCTAGGTAGGGCGACCTGGCCAGAGCTCCAGGAATGAGGGGGGTTTGCTGTCTCTGAGTTCATGATATTATGTTAAAAAAAAAAAAAAAAAAAAAAAAAAAAAAAAAAAAAAAAAAAAGGAGAGAAGCCTAAAAAGCCTAAATCTCTTACTGCTTGACTGGGCAAACAAGAGCTTAGCAATGAAGGGAAAGTCTTTCTACCTTCCCCGAAAAGCGAAAAGCAGCTAATCTTCAGCCAAAGGCTTTACCTGGGGCTTTTCTGGAAGCCACCTCTGCCCCATGGGTGACACCCCTGTCTCTGCTTGAGCCTGGAAGGGCAGTGAGAGTGCCAAGCACCTTTGAGCCATGAGGAGCATATTGAGGAAGGAGGGAGCTTTGTGCCAGTTAATTAGCAGCCCTTTGGTGGTTTCTGCAGCCCACAGTAACCTTCATAAGATCTGCAATGAAGGAGAGATATTTGGGGTTATATGGTTGAGGCTGGAAGTAGATTTATTTGAGCTCTTCTTTCTTTGAGCATCGAGTTCATTGTTCTTGCAGCTCCCTTTAGAGACTGTGCCATCCGCTGTCCAGGCTGGGCAGCCCAGAGTCAAAAGGAAAGGAGCCTTTTGCCCATCATTGTCACATAAATCAGAGCCCAAATCTGTAAAATGTGAGAAAATGAGAGATTCGATTATCCATATGGATCACTCTGGATTTATTCCAGATTGCTTCATTAATAGCAATTAAAGACATCACTTTAATGGATATTTTATCCTCAAAATTATGATCATGGGGAATTTGTTCTGGCTATTGGTTTTGAAAAGGCTTTTGATTCTCTTCAATAGCCTTAACTTATTTCAGATTTAGGTAACAGTAGGATTTGGTTTTAAATATGTTAGATAGGTCAATCTCCTTTATTCAAATCCACTGTTACGTTAAAACTAATGACCACAGTTTGAAGATGATTTATATACTGAGGCTTAGACATGAGAGTCTTTTTTCTCTGATACTTCTGCTATTACAGAGGAGCCTTTGTTTTGGGAGAAGTCATTGTTTTTAAGGGAAAAGTCAGTGATGTTTTCTATTTTGCCCTTAGTTGGAAGATATGTTATTTTTTTAATGAAGATGTTCTTTAATGAAGATTATGCTGGAAGTCACTGAATGATGTTCATGTTTCTTCTTTGTTAATTGGGGTAAAACTCTTAAAGCCATTAGGTGATTTAAATGTAGCTCTATTTCAGCAATATCCTTTATTGGATCCCCCATTATCCTTTAAACATCTTGGTGTGCAAGGGGATAAAATTAGAATGAATTTGTTTGCTTTAAATTGCCAGCCTCTGCTTGATAAAACTATTAGCTATTTAGCTAATTGGGCTGCTCTTCCATTATCATTAATTGGCAGAATTGATACAATTAAAATGGGGGGTTTATCCAAAGTGTATGTGTTTTTTCCTAGGTATTCCTATCAAGTTTCCTATCATGTTCAGGGAGTCCTACATTCTGCAATTAGTTTTGTTTTCAAGGTTAGAGGTAAATTCAAGATTGATTTTGAAATTCTGAAGCTTCTTACAGAGTCAGCTGGACTGACTCCTGCTTATTTTGTTGTTACTTTTGTCTGCCTCAGTGCAACGTGTTCTGTGATTTAGGCAATTTGTGAATTAGCCCAGCATTATGGGGCTGTGGGGAGTGTGGGGCAGTGCAACCACGGATGGAGCACACCTGCTTTGCAGAGGGTCTGGGCGAGGTTTGCCCCAGGCTGTGCCCAGCAAGGTGCTAAACGCCCATTATTCCCTGGCCCACCAAGTATTTTAACACAGCCAGAACTTTTAAAAACCTAGGCCCAGTGACTTCGATTAGATTACTCACACTAGTACAGTTAAACAAAGGCTCCACTTGGTTGGGGCCACAGTAATCATCACCTTGATTTGAGGCTCCCACCAAATCCTTTGCAAAATAGCATCACTTTCAGCTTCCACCTTGGCTTGGAGCTGCTGCTGCCCTCTCTGTGAGCAGGGCAGGGTGCTGTTTGGAGAAGTCACTCTGCCAATCCCCTTGTTGTGTGTCCAAAGCATCAAGAAACTGCACCCTGTGCTCCTGCCATCCTTGGTGGACATGCCATCCCTTTTAGGCTGCTAGTACAAATCGTGCTTCTCCCTTCTAATGCTATGATTCATGTCAGCCATTAGCCTCAAATAAATGAATGGGCTGAAAGAAAATTAAAACCAAATCACGCTTCTGTCAAAGGGAAGTCTTGTTGACAAGCAGGGCCTCTATTGCCAGAATTAGTCATCTGGGTCTGCCTTTTGCACCAGAGACTAAGAAAACCAGAGGATGATTAATTGGGCAGGACCAGGAGGATATTACCCCTCCCCTACAGCTAGCCAGTGGGGGCAGTTTCTAAATCACACCATGAGGGCAATGGTTACATCACCGAGCACTACGACTACTGCTGCTTCACTTTCACCACCATTTTATGTGGTGCTGGGGTGTTCTTCACCATCCAAACATATCCTTTTACTGTGATTTTCTTTACCTTATCTTGCAAGCCATGTAGAGCTGGGTCTATTGCCTTTTAAAGCTGCTTAAAATAATTTCTATCTAGAATATAACATAGTTTTATGCAAAATAATTTTTAAAAAAAATTTTTGTCTGTAAAATAAGTGCAAATATAATAATATATAATTTTAACAAAAAAAAAAATCAGGCTCTTTCCTGTAGACTCAATCCAGTACGTGTGTAACATGTTTGAACACTGGAGCAAACTTGATGCAATGCTGCCCTTCTTAATTCATTTGAGTCATTGTCATTTTAGACTATACCAAAGTCATTTCATGAAACACATCATGCTTCATGGGTTAATCCTGATTTAGCTGTGATGCTTTGCTTTTGGGTATTATCTAAATTGTTTTGCCCATCTCTTCTTCATTCATTTTGTCTGTCATGAATATCATTCTACATGGATTTCACTCATACATTTATTTGTATTTAAATTATGCATCTCTTTAAGGAGATAGACCCATCAAGTGATACAATACCTGATGGCACAAAGAATGAGGCATTGTTTACTTTTGCATAAAAAGCCATGAAGATGGAGCACACAGTTTATAGGATACTAATGAATTATTTGGATGGTTGATCTTAAGTCAGACTCAATCCAGCTAAGCTTGGTAGCCAATGCATTTGAAATGTAATGGATAATAGTCCAAGAGCCAAATACATTGCAGGTCTACCTTGCATGGGTTGACCCCTATTGACAACCTTACTGAGGCACCTTTGCTCTGAGTGGCTGAGGAAATACCTCATCACAGGCTCACAGGCTGCCTTCTTGCCCCTGCAGGGACAGAGGCTGGCCTTGGACAAGGCTCTAGGCCTTGGACACTCCTTCCGGGGGGACAGAGAGCACCCGAGTCTCTGGGGTCACAACCTGGCATGTTTCATGAGCACTGAATGAATTCACTGGAATGAAAGTCACCTTGGGCTGAGGAGCCTGTTGCAACTCTTTCAGGAAGAACGAGTACTCCCACAGTGCAGTTGGAAACCCCACACTCCCACAGACTCCCTGTGACTCAGGGAAAAGGAGGAGGGAGCAGAACCCTTAGAGTAAGGACTACCTCACAGCACTAAATGCACTGATCTTGTGTTGTTTATATTTCTGAATTAATTGCAGTAAATAAGGAGCACCATAGTGTGTAAAACTCAAGTGAAGGAGATGAGAATCAAACCCAGGCAGAGCAGAGAAGCTGCAATGCAGGAGCCAGTTCTCCCTGTGCAACCTTTAAGGTATATTAGGGCTAAAACCTCCTTTGTGCTAGCATTGATGTTTATTTGCTTTTATATCAGCTCTGAATTTTGCTTATTGTCACCAGTAAAGAGTCCAGAATAGGGATATCCTGGGTTGAAACATTACTGTGGCATACAATGCCTCCTCCTCATTTGAAAGTAGAGATATAACTCTGTATGTCATTAACTAAGACAATAATAAATTAATACAATAGCCAAGTAATAGTGCTGTAATGCTTTCGTGTATGAATTGGAATGTGAATACTGAGCTTTTCATTTCATGGTTGAAAAATACATGAGTTGACCCAAATATTAATTCCTGTATTTCAATCATTTACATATTATGGGTCAATAATAATTTCTTGCACAAATGACTTTTCAAATGAGAAGCAGTATATTGGAATGGCCTATCATATTTACAAACATCTCATTGTTATCCTAACTTAGCACTTAGTATTTAAAACATACTGGACATGATATTGTTTGCCAAATACAATACAAAACTAGGTAATCTAAAATTCAGATACTATTTTCTTTAATCCATAATTTATAATATTCATAAACCATGGAGTGGCAGGCCTCTGCTCCTGGCAGGCCCACACCCACACTTTGGAATGGGCATCATTTTCCAGCAACAGTTTAGGAGACCTGACACTTCTTTCTGCTCTTTCCTGACCTTAAAAATCTCATCCCTTTGAGCAGCAATCCCTCTGAAGATCCAGCACTGTCAGAAGAACTAATGGTGAGAGGTTTGAGTTTATTACATCCCAGTATTTCTTTACAGCATGCAATGACATCCAACAAAATGCCTAGGATGTCTTTTTTCAATTACTTTGCAAAGCTAAAATAGTATAAATAATCTTGAGTTTTGCTTACTGGTATTGAACTTAGTCCATCATTTTGGGCTCACATTGTTTCATCATATTCTATGCCTTTATTAGCCAGCACATCCCAGCAGAAACCTTTTGTCTTAGAGTAAATGTGTTCAAGTGTTCAAGTACTGAATTAATCAGGGACTAGTGCAACATATATATGCTGCCCAGCAAGATGAATTTACACATCTGCCTTTTCCCCTAATTATAATTCCAGAGGTTGAATGTCAACAGCATATGGGTATATCCTCAAAGAGGCATGCAAACACACACATACAGGCACACACACTGTACATTAATCTCTCTTGGCTTATCTGTTGCTGTCTTTAATTTGTATACTTCAAAATTGAGTGGTGAGGTCATTTATTAGACTGTTTCTGTGAATTTTATGTAGTGATAAGAAAGCAGTAACATGCAATTTGTTTTTAGAGGACTCACTTTTGTAAGTATGATCTAATGTTTTCTTCCTTTAACTGAACAGTGAGGAAGAGGTGATTTCAGAGCTAACTAAGAGTTAACTGGCTACGTTTCAACTGTCACCATTGTCTTAAATCTACATAGAGAGAGGAGAGAGCCAGAGAGGTGTAAGTACAGCAGGATGCTGGGAAAAAAACATTTGTAAGTAGAAATTTCTCCTCAGAGCAAATTTTTCCAGTTTGTCTTGATTTTTTCTTTCCCTATTTTTTAAACACAACGTGTGATGGAGACGATTGTTATTATCCAAAGGACCTGACTTGCTGGCTCACTGCATCTCTGTTTATGAAATGCCATAACAAAAGTGAGCTCACGCTTGTGTGCTTCCAATGCGTGATGTTCCTGTGTGCCAGATGGGCACTTTCATGACTGTATGAGCGTGGATTATTTCATTTCCTACATCTGGGACTCCAAATGGCTGCACAGAATGCCACAGGAGAGAGGAACAGATCTTCAGCTGGGGAAACCTACCTTCACAGGGGAACCAACTACATCAGAGGGGATGAGACAGAAAAGCCCCGAGTGATATCTGAAAGTTCACATAAATCAAGGCCATAAGGGAAACCTTTAGAACCAGGAACAAGACAAAAATAAACAATAAGTAATGTTGGATGTCAGCTGTGCAGAGTGGGGAGGGAAAATAAACCATAAGCAGTTTCTTGTCTGGCCACAGAAGATGTGTTTGGAATGCTGTTTTGTATTTCAGCTCAGAAACTCTGCTGTGACCTTCAGATATTGCTGGGTATTACAAGTTCTACAGATAGCCAGAGAGAAATATTCCAAGGAGAGATGGCATATACTGTGCCATGCTAGTTAATGTTGTGAGTGTATTGCTCACAGCCCCTTCCCAAACTGTGACCAGGCAGCCTTGGTAAAACAGTGTGGAATCCTACAGTAATAGTCAGGAATGCTAGTTAGTCATAATGCTATTGCAGGATTTGGGATAATTAGTTGTTTGTTTGTAGCATAAGAGTGCTTTCTTTTCTTTTCTTTTCTTTTTTTTTTTTTTTTTTTAAGCTCAAAACGACGAGAGCAGATCCTCAGTATAGTGAGGATCTGGCTCACTACACTTTTGCAGAGTATGTTCCATTTCAGAGCCAGCAAACAGGAGGAGATGGGGAGAAGAATTAGCTGTAGCAGAAAAAAATCTAGTTAAGTCAGTGACTTTGTTAAGATGAAAGAGAGCAAACCCCCAAAAGAGAACAAATGAAAAAAGTAATGAGCAAAAAGAAACTAAGAGTTTGTGACACAAAGTAAGAAAAATAAACAGCAGTTGATTTAACTATTTTGCATAAGATATTTACAAACCACAGCATATTACTGTTTGCTTTATGCATTTTCACATCCTGCTCAGTTTAAAGCAGTAATTTTCTGCAAGGACAACAGAGGGAAAAAAATGCTTTACACTGCTTATATTAATTACATTTTTTCATTACCCGTCATGTTTTCTACAGGCTTGTGTATTATTACTGTAAAATGTAATGAAACAGAAAAAGAAAAAAAAGAATGGACTTCTGGGAAATTTTCCAATTCTTGAAATGCAATGTTAATTGAGTGCTATTTTTAGGTCATCACAGATAGAACTGAACCCATTGCCATCAGAGCACAGAATGGGGACAGCCCAGGTGCAACACAAACTGGGTGAGGGAATCAGTTTCTACTAATGGAGAAAAAGAGAGAAACTAACTTGCCAGAGGGGTGGGTTCATGGCAGTTTGTATTTCTTGATGTGAAGTTCTCAAAGCAGAAATTAAAGGGAAGGGTGCAGAGCTGGCAGGAATCCAGGACCCACCAAGCCCAGCCATGGTCACTCCTGAAGGAGACCCACTGACTTCTGAATCAGGAGGGCAGAGTAAATGAGAGGCTCTGTCTGGTTTTGTGGCTGACTTTCAGCTCTGGGAGGGAGGGCACTCTGAAAGCCAACATGAAATAAAGTCTCCCAAAATGTATCAGAAATCCCTTTAATTTATAGATCTCTTAAAAGGCTGCCAAAAAATCAATTATTTTAATTTGTATATAGTGCAGCCATGGACTGATTCAAGTTCTGTTGAAGTATTTTTAAACAGTCATTGCACAAAGGCATCCTCTTTCCCATATGCAAAAAGAAATGAATTGAAAATCAGAATTTCTCACAATCATTTTGATTGGAAGAATAGTGCAATTCACGTGGGATTCTGCAAGCAAATCTGACTCCCCTCACTCAGTCTGTTAACTGGACACCTTTACTGTCAAGTCCCAAGAATCAGTGTAGCTCTACTGCTACCTTCATTATCTGCCTTCTCTCCCAAAGAGTGTATGGAAACTGAGCCCATAACAGGGGAAATAGTTACTGGCACTTGGGAGTGGCTGGAGGCTCCCTTTGAAACAGAAGTGGAAAATCGTCAGTGTGCACATACCAAGGCCAAAATAATAGAATCACAGAATCTGCTGGGTTGGAAGGATCATCAAATCCAACTCCTGACTCTGCACAGGACATCCCCAAGAGTCACACCCTGTGCCTGAGAGTGTTGTCCAAACGCTTCTTGAGGTCTGTCAGGCTGGTTCTGTGACCATTGCCCTGGGGAGCTGTTTCAGTGCCTGGCCACCCAGTCAACCTCTGGGTGAAGAGACTTCTCCTCTCGTGAAACAACTTGAGACCATTCCCTCAGGTCCTGTCACTGATCGCCACGGCACAGAGGTCAGTGCCTGCCACTCTTCTTCCCCTCATGAGGAAGTTGTGACTGCAGTGAGGTCTGCCCTCAGTCTCCTCTTGCCCAGGCTGACCTCAGCTGCTCTTCATATGACTTTCCCTCCAGACATTTCACCATCTTCATAGCTCTCCTTCGCATGATCTCTAATAGTTTTATCTCCTTTTATATTGTGGTGCCCAGAGCTGTACACATCAGTCAAAGTGTGGCCACACCAGTGACCTCTGTGAAAGAGGAGAGAGCACCCCACTTGCAGGAAGCCAATCTCCACAAAGCTGTTCATTCTCTCTATAGCACTGCACTGCTATAAAAGCAAGAGCCTCGCCCAAACATTTCGGCAGCTGTTCTAGATGGCAGTGTAGCATGTTTTGGAACTACCAAGATTAACCAAAGCAGCTTTCTACCTGCTTTGGCCCCATGTCAGAAAACAGTCATGATCAGGTGGTAGAATTACTAAGCCAGTTCTCTTTGGTTTAGTGTTAGTGGAAATCTGCTAACCAGCCTTTAGGTATGAGACAACCCTCCACCCATTCTGACCCAGGTCATCAGAGACATTTATGGCAGTATCCTAAACAAAGACACTTAAGCACCCATATTCCCAAGAATTCCCATGGTCTGGGATCTTTTACCTTGGTACAAACAGTTTGCATTTTGGCCTTTTCTTTATTAGTTAGAAGTTTTGGGATTTTTCTATGGGTCTGTTAGTCACTTGAAGGTGCAGGCTCATCCATTTTCCAGTCTCAACTCAAGAATTCTGACTGTGCCCAAGTGCCACAAGAAATACAAGACATCAGTAGTGCTCCCTTAAGTGTGGCTCTCCTTGACCTATACAATAGCATGTGCATCAGGTACCCATCAAGAGCATGTCTTCACTTCTTGCCTATCTTGAATTCACTACTCTTCCCTTAAGTTACATAATCTGTGACTTAAGAAAAATACTCCCTCAGTGTATTTCACCTATTCTGCAGCAGATATGGCAATGGCATATAAGTGTTACGGATTTGCCTGGCAAGGCTTAGATGGATAAAAAAAAAGCAAAGCAAAACACAAACTGAAGAGTTGGTTTTCTCTCCAAACATTTCTAGTGCTAAGATAGAAGTGATAAGTCATAAATATAAGCCAGCATGATTTTCTCTCATCTGACACATTGAATTAAGGCTGTTGTGCTCAAAAACTTACAGCAAAATTGACAAACACTTCCTTTTAGGAATGCTGCATCAAAGGTATTAACAAGGCACACACTGCCCTGCACTCACACACAAGGTGTGTGAACTGTGATATTCTTGTTGCAAATCAAGAAAGAAATCCTGCTCCTTCTGACTCTGCTTTTCCTGCCTCCAGTGGTGGTGCCAGCATTTGGACTTCATTTAGTCAAACCAAGTGGCCCCAGCCTGTTGCAACCTCACCATGGGCCTTAGCTCATTATTGGCTTGTCAGCACTAATACTTCATCAAGACCAATCTCAAACCTGGCAGCTATCCCTACATTTGTATCTCACCATGACAGACCCCTTTTTACGTTTAGATTAGAGTTATTCCTCTTTGCTAGGAAATTGGTCTGGATCCACAGCCCTCCGACTGGGAGTCACAATATTTTTCCATAAAGGACCTAGTTTTGCTCTTTCAGAATGATTTGGTTTTCCTTAGCACCCGAAGTTGTTCTGATAGGCTGCAGTCCAACAACAGCAGGGCTCCTTTGCAGGCCAGAGCAGGTAAACTTTTTCTGTAGCAGGGTGACAGGAGCAAGTGGTGGAGAGTATAGAGGAAGCAAAGAGAGCCATGAAACCACAAAGTCGCCTGAAGCATGGGCAGCCTGACCCAAGCCAGCTGGATCCCACTACACCACCCTAGGGAATGGCTCCTATGTGAGCCAGCCCCTTCAGTGCTCCAGCTGCTGCAGAAAGGGCAATAAATTTGTTAATTCCAAGTAAAGTCATTGAATAAATCAGGAAGTCAGTATTCCAATGGCAATTCAGACTTGAGATAATGTCTTAAGAGACAAGCAGTCACTGGTTTCCATGGGAATTTTGCCATTTCTTTCACCAGGACTAGGATTTAATCTATGGGAGTTTTCATTTTTTTCAACTTGATTAGCTGGCCGCTGTCCTCTACTGAAAGACAGTCACAGTGCACCTGAAGAATTGTGGTAATAAGCTGGTCAAGGGATTTTGCAGGATGGATCTAAGGAGGCTGCAGTCATTTTACTGGATCAATAGGTGGGATTTCAACAGAGAGAAGGGGTTCAAATATCACTGAAAATTTAACTTCAATGTGTTTGTTTTCTGTTTTAGCTGTGTTGGGAATGGCCTATAGATTCAAATTGTGACTCAGAGCAGGAGAAATGAGGAGCCATTAATTCCTGCTAAAAAAATGCTATTCCAGGCCGTAGCCCTAACATAAATGAGTTTGGCATGTTCAGAGTGGA